GAGACCAGAATCTGAAACCTCCTCCAGTAGTGAGAGTGAGGATGAAAGAGAAATAAAGGTTAACCAAGGAAACCTACAACAAGCAACATCTCCCATCAAACCACCAACGGCAGTAAAACCTGATCTAGAGTCCCAGTGGCCAGTGATTGATCTTGTTCGGGTACCAAAAGTCAAACGACGCTTAGACATCGCAGAAAGAGTAAATGTGTCAAAAAAGATGCCTTCAGAAATAGTTGGTGTGCCAAAACCAGATTCTGGGACTTCCTCAAGCAGTGAGAGTGAAGATGAACGAGAAATCAAAGTAGAACAGCACCAAGAGAAAATACCAATAGTCACATCTCCAAATACACAACCCACAGAATCGCAGTGGCCACTGATAGATCTGGCCAGAATACCCAAAGTTAAACAACACTTGGACATTAAGGAAAGAGAAAGGGTAAAAGTGATACAGGTGACAGAAAGAGTCCCATCAGCAATAGTTAGTGTGCCAAAAACTACATCTGAAACCTCCTCCAGTGGTGAGAGTGAAGATGAACAAGAAATTAAGGTAAATCAGGAAAAGCTACAAGAAGCAACACTTCCAATCAAACCCCCAACTACAGTAAGACCAAATCAAGAGTACCAGTGGCCAGTGGTCAGTCTTGTAAAAGTTAAACGACATCTAGAATTCAAAACAACTGCACCAGCTGAGATACAGACACAAGGAAGGGTTGTGTCAACTCCAGTCAATGTGCAGAAACTTTCTGACACCTCCTCCAGTAGTGAAAGTGAAGAAGAACAAGAAATCAAAATAGTTACCAAAGAAAATCTACAGCAGATAGCACCTCCAACTAAGCAACCAACTGATCTTCATCATGAATCACAATGGCCAGTAATCAATCTTGTCAAAGTACCTAAACTGAAACGTCGCTTAGATATCAAAGAAATAGTAAAAGTGACAAAGGGGCCAGAAAGGGTCCCATCAACGAGTCTCAATGTCCCAAAACAAGACTCTGGGACTTCCTCCAGCAGTGAGAGTGAAGAAGAAGAAATAGAAGAGAATTATTATGAAAATATTGAACAAGTAACATTTCCAACAAAGCAACCAGCCATGACATCAGAACCAGAATCCCAGTGGCCAGTAATCAATCTTGTCAAAGTACCTAAACTCAAACGTCGCTTAGATATCAAAGAAAGAGTAAAAGTGACAAAGGGTCCAGAAAGGGTCCCATCAACAAGTCTCAAAATCCCTAAACAAGACTCTGGGACTTCCTCCAGCAGTGAGAGTGAAGAAGAACAAGAAATAGAAGAGAATTATTATGAAAATATTGAACAGGTAACATTTCCAACAAAGCAACCAGCCATGACATCAGAACCAGAATCCCAGTGGCCAGTAATCAATCTTGTCAAAGTACCTAAACTCAAACGTCGCTTAGATATCAAAGAAAGAGTAAAAGTGACTAAGGGTCCAGAAAGGGTCCCATCAACAAGTCTCAAAGTCCCTAAACAAGACTCTGGGACTTCCTCCAGCAGTGAGAGTGAAGAAGAACAAGAAATAGAAGAGAATTATTATGAAAATATTGAACAGGTAACATTTCCAACAAAGCAACCAGCCATGACTTTAGAACCAGAATCCCAGTGGCCAGTAATCAATCTTGTCAAAGTACCTAAACTCAAACGTTGCTTAGATATCAAAGAAAGAGTAAAAGTGACTAAGGGTCCAGAAAGGGTCCCATCAACAAGTCTCAAAATCCCTAAACAAGACTCTGGGACTTCCTCCAGCAGTGAAAGTGAAGAAGAACAAGAAATCAACGAGAATTATTATGAAACGATTCAACAGGTAACATCTTCAACAAAGCAACCAACATTACAACCAGAATCCCAGTGGCCTGCAATTAATCTTGTGAAAGTACCAAAAATTAAGCAACGTTTGGATATCAAAACAACTACACCAGCTGTTTACAAGCAGGTACATGTGACTCAAGGAAAATTCCCTTCAACATCTATTAATGTGAAACCTGAGTCGGGGACCTCCTCCAGCAGTGAAAGTGACAATGAACAAGAAATGAAAATAAACCATCAGGAGATAGTACCACCAACCAAGTCATCAGCTGTTGACTCTCAGTGGCCAATGATTGATCTGGTCAGATTACCTAAAATTAAACGACGCTTAGATATCAAGAAAAGAGTAAAAGTGACACAGGTGCCATCAAGGGTACCAACAGTCAATGTCCAGCAACGAGAATCTGACACTTCAAGCAGCGAGAGTGAAGTTGAAGAAAAAATCAAGGTACACCAAGAGAATCTACAACAAATGACTTTGCCAAATAAGGAATATGTTGAATCCCAGTGGCCATTAATTAATCTTGGTAAGGTACCTAAAATAAAGCAATGTTTAGATATCAAAACAACTGCACCAGAAGTTCATTCTGCAAGCAGTGATAGTGAAGATGATGTAACAGTGGTCCAAAAACGGTACCCATCAACAAATACCACAAAACCAAAACCCGTGTTGGGTACAATGTCTAGTAGTGAAAGCGAAGATGAAAATGCACAAAAGGGTGGCGTGAATGCCCTTGGACCTCCAGCGCAGTGGCCAGCAGTAGATTTTGGAGGCATTACTCGAATTAAGAGACGTCTAGACTTCAAAATACCATCACAATCTCTTCCATTACCCGTTCCATCCAGTAAGGGATCTAGTCATACATTAATTAGATCATCTTCAAGCAGCTCAGATGAGGAAACAAAAGTAAAGAGTACCCAAATTTCAGCAGAACAATCTACAAGACTTCCCAGTCAAACAAGTATTGGTATAGCTCATGTCAGCAGACGTCTTGATATAAAAGGACCATCCGTGAAGCCTGGCTTGCAAGACTCTGAATCAGACTCCTCCAGTGACGATGAAAAGGACAAACCTAAACTTTCAAGTGGATCTCTAAAATATCAAGAAAATAAAGAGTTCATTAAAGTCTCCCCATTATTAAACATAGCTCGTAGTCCATCAAAAACAACCCAAAGAATTGAGCTAGAAAAGTATACAGTTGTTACTGATGACTTGAGAGACAAAGCTACAAGTGGCAGTACATCACCAGTGGTTACACCAGAGTTAGAATCAAAATGGGCTAGTATGAATCTTGGAGTTTCACGATTTCGAAAACGTCTTGATATAACGAGAACAAGTGATCCGCCGTTGTCACCTTCATCTCCTCCTCCCAGCTTCCCTAACCACGCTGAGCTAATCACTGGTACTGGTATGTTAGAAGTGACAGAGCAAGCATATGTTTCACCAACAAGAGAGCAAAATGTTGATAGCGCTTCAAGTAGTGAAAGTGAAGATGATTCAAAGTTGGATGGCAAATCTGCAAAAGGTGAACTGGACTCAGTGTCATCTCAAATTGGAACAACTAGCATGTCACAAGATAAACAATCTTTAAATATTACAGCAATACAGAACAAACGTTCAGGCAGTAGTAGCAATGAAGACACAGTAGACATGAGGGTCCCTGATGTAAGCCTGGGTATACCAAGAATTAAAAGGCGTCTAAATATCAAAGCACCCACTCCACCACCAAGTTCTTCAAGTAGTGATGAGGGAAAAGTTTACGCACACAAATTTTCTGATGTGACCGACCAGCGCAGCATTGAGTACAAGCGTACAATTATGAAAAGTTACTCTTATGATTCTTCAAAACGGGAAATGTATAGAGAACCACTGCATGTTCAAAGCAATCCTCAAACACCAAAGAAGTTGAGTTTAGATAACATCAAAAGAAAGTTATTGCCTTCAAAACAACAAGAATTGCCTCCAAATTTGAGATGGACCAGTGTGGGTAGTCATCTTTCTGAGCATCCCCTACCTACTCCAAGAAGACATCAAGATGGTTATACATCACCGCCACCTATGTCTTCACTTTCTCCAATATCAAAAGATAATTCGTCTGATTCCTCTAGCAGCGAGGATGAACAAAAAGAGGTCAAAACTACTTCGATTGTAACCCAAAAAACGTACAATCCTAGAAGTGTGACTTTTAATACATCCCCCACAATTTTAGACACTGCAACATTTGAAGATAGGACTGAACGAAGAGGTCTCAGTGCACTAAAGGCAATGTCATCCGAACGGAAAAACTGGGACTTCGAATATGAAACTTTTACAGAATCTGCTCCTGTTAACGTCGACTATATCCCAGAAGAACACACTGTCTATAGAAGGACAGTAGATGTCAAAACTAAAATATCGCAATCACAAATTTATAGCACCGTTTCACCTGCATCTGATGAAAAAAGGCTCGCAGACATGTTGTATGGGATTCCCAGCTACAAAAGGCACACAATTAAATCTACTGAACTACCCCAGGGCCCTCCACCCCCCATCCCATCTAGTCCCCTGCCAGAGGAGATCACAGATTTTACATGGAGGTCCCCACAGGCCAGTCTAAGTAGAGGAACTTTAAGTTACAACCAGCAGAAGGTGACTGAAGAAGAATCAGTAGATGACCCATTTTATGACAACCCAAATATTAGCGCTGTTTAAAATGAGGGAGGTGAGATAATGATCAGTTCTCAACCTTCTTCCCTCATTCCCCAAAAAATCTGTTGACTTGGCAGTTTATACTGAGTCAAATTATACAGAATGAAATGTAAATGTAAAAGTAGGCATTATTATAATTTTTACATTTACGATTAAGTAAAAGCTAATTTAAAACAAATGTTATTCATGTTTGTAAATACACAATAGTGCTTCAATATCTCCCTTGTGATATAGATTTTGTCCATTCTTGCTTCAGACAAAGGAATAATTATGAAAATTATGTCCTGTGGAATTACATAAATGAAAATTATAACTAATATGTAGTATGTAGTAACACTCTTGTTTCCAGTTTGTATTTTTTTTATGAGCTTAATACTTTGCTAATATTATATTTGCTGATCTTTGTAAGTGCTCGATCATGTCACTCATTTGTTGATATTACTAATCCAAGTGTTATCAATGTACCAAATAATTTAATAAACACAAACAATTAAGTTAATAAACGCTTTTATTTGTGTATATGGACATAGGTTATATTGAAAACAAACATATTGACACATAGTTTACATACATATATACAGTTGGGACATGGCTGTTCCATCTTCTGCATCATATTTATGAAAATCCTTAAGTACAGTATGAAATGTGAAATGGCATCCTAAATTGTATCAGCTGCTGTGGTTTAAATGCATGTGCATAAGATAAAAAGCTGAAATAAATTATTGTAAATTTAGGGTTTGTCAGATTTTTTAAGTGCTAAACCGACTGTATATTTGAACATGGTGATGCAGAAGGGAGCTACCCACTCCCCCTTGAGGTTACATTGTTCTAATACTTACAACCATGTCTTTTGGAGGCAACATGGTTGTGAGTATTTATTAAGCACAAAACACTTTTTTTCCACAAATTCCTGTACAAACAAAATGTGTTTTCCAAAATTGTTTCCAAAAAAGTCTCATCCATTCACAAAAAGGCGTGGTTTGGAGCGTGCATGCAAATATTAACATTTCTTGACAATTTTTAGCGTCGTCACACCACAGCCAAGGACAAATTTATACATGTATTTACCAGAACAATACAATAGGCAAAAATAACAGCATAGCATCATCACAGAACTTCTGTGTCCATTTTCATTTGATTATTCTTTAACGGTGGTCCAATAATAACGTTTAAATTTTTTTAAACAAGTCTACTTTTTTTTTTTTCTTACAAGCACTACCGGACCTCTTCCTGATTCAAAGGGTCACTGGTCTTATGTGCATTGGTTAACACTGTCCATATTGGATGCTACTACGGTACTAAGAGAGGACCTGAACTATTGGTGGACTAAGGAAGACAACAGATAACCACGTTTCCAAAGACAAAATGGACACTAACTATTTCAATGTTAACTCATTTTAACACAGCCCAACAGTCAAAGTTCATCCTGAAATTATCCCTGACCATTCAGTATGTGTGTGTAAGTGTTATGTCTGTCAGCACGTTTCTACTCACCAACCAACTATAACTTTAAGACAAAATGCCTTATTACCAAATCAGTGTCAATATTTGCTTCTAAAACATGCATTTTTCCACAATCCAACATCTTATGGTCATAAGTGTGTAGACTTCCTTGTGCCAATCGCAAGCCTAATCAGATAGGGAGTGAAGAAAGGGCATTTGATTTAAAAATGCTTAATTTGCTATAACTACACCATAATGCAAATGATGAAAGCTAAAAAGCTGCATTCATTCATTCATTTATCCAGGCTTGGGAATGGCAGAATAAGTACAGTCACTTATGTCCCCTTGTGTTGTATTTGGGGATAAAAAAAAAAAAAAGTACTAGAAATGAAAAATCACCAACCATATTCATTTGGTAATAAGGCATGTGTTCATAACATTTAGCTTGTTTGGTGTTCATTTGGGTCCTGTGTTTTTAGGCACAGTAATTATTATTGTACCCTTAATTAGACAAAGCTGGTACATAGATTGGTCATGGTTGGACCAATAAATGCTTATCGCAATCAGCGATGTCCTGTAATAAGAGTAAATAAGCAGCAACGTTGTTTGGTGTGATGGAGGTCTGAAGCCCTCAAAAAGGAGGTGGTAAGCAAAAGGTGATGGATAACAGCAGCAGGGACCAGAAACTATCAGAAAGGAACCACTGGCACAAATCAATAGTTTACAGCACAGGCATCAAGTAACCTGCCTCCTTTGACACAGTGTGCTTCATAAAGTTGGCTGCATCATCCCCACAAAAGTTCATTGCACAGTTGTAGTTGATTTCATATTGTGCCCAGGTCAAAAAATGACCGTAAAAGACTGTATAAGACTCAAGACACGATGCAAGAATGGTCACTTCAGAAGGGGCTGAAAGAGTGCTTCTCCCACAAAAATACTGTTTGGAATCCATCCGTGTGCAAAATGTCTAGTCATCTTAACACATACAGTAATATGAGGACAGGGCACTGCATCCTCCTCCACTGGATATTTAAAAAAACCCTCAATGTTAGGCCTTCAATGCCTTATCCATCACATGCATTAGTTCCTTGACACCTTGACTCAGACTGAATTTTTTCTAAAGTTATTGTTGTATTTTTATAGTAGTTTGTTGTCACAGTTGGGTTCATGCCATGTTTGCAGTTTTTGGAAGTGCAACTATGACATTTGTCTTTCCTTGTACCATTCGACAAACTCGTCCAACAAAACTGGCCCTAACAAAACAAAATACAAATGTATTAAATAGATATAATACATCATATGTACTATCTTGGTCTAAGCAATGTACTTACAGGCGCCGTCCTCATCATAGTTACTAAGGTCCAGATTGATTGTCCTGCTGAACTCTAAAACATTACACCATTGGTCTTTGTTGATGACTTTGTACTTCGATTGCTGGAAATAAAAAGAAAACATAACATAAGTTATTAGATCCCATAAGGGGCAATGACTGAAGAAATCATATAAAAATATACCTCTAAAAACTGATTAAACACAGGAAACAGTGGCCATGTCTTTCCTAGAAGAAGACCAAGCATGCACTTGGCTGTGTTCAGGTCCAAACTTCTCTGATCCTTTTCCTATTGACAAATACAAAGTGTGTCGTAACATGTTATGGAAATGGTTTAGGAAGACATCATAAGACCAAAGATGAGATTTAGATAACCAAGCGGAGCAATAAGTGTAAATTTGCACTTAAAAGTACGTAAAATAAAAAAAAGATAAATTCAATCTTACCCGAGCAAAATCAAAGGCGTATCTATAAATTAGTTTAAAACTAGTGCTATCGTTGAGGACAGATCTCAGGTAGTCCAGAGAGTTCCTTAGCCTTTCAGTGGAGTCACACCTAATGAGACATAATGTTAGAGACACAACACTCATCTTTATCAGAGCCTCAAACAATTTAAAAGAATGGAGACAGTGAAATGAAACAAGAAGGAGGAACATACTGCAGAGAGCCCATCCCTCTGAGCCACTCCTGGAGGGTAAAATATCCCATACTCTGGGCATCTAGCTTCCACGCAAGAACCAGCATCACCACCTGGGCACAGTCATAGCAACACTTGTTATAGGCATAGCTGCTCTTAAGTGTCAAATCACACATCACAGAAAGTTAATTCTCATGTCAGTCACTTAATGACACTGACAACTAAAGAGGTGACAATAATAGCATGATTAATACTGCATATTGTGGCTGTCCCTAACCCTACTTTGCATATTTAATTTTACAAAGGAACCAGGCCAAATATCCCTCCTGCTACTAGAATTGTTCCTGTCTTTGAACCAGCACAGAAAAGTTTGCTGGCCTGTCACCCGCTGCATCTGGATTTATAAGGCTGTAGCTAACAAAAGAAATTTGCCATCACAGCCAAAAATGGTGCTCAGTAGTGAGAACTGAGTCACCTGAACTTGCCTTATCAAAAATATTACAAAAAGAACTTACATTTTCTGGCTCAACTCCAATGTCCTCACAGAACTTTTCCATGCCTTCAGGACCAACCACATCATCGCAACCTTTGAGAAAGACACGCATGGCAGTAACTTTAGATAACTTCTCTCTCTACATTGGTTCTTGGGGAATGGTCATACAACAGTTACCTGCATATTCATAGAACCACTCTAGACACCTTTTATTTGAAAATGTGTCCTCTTCACGGATTTGTAATGCCTCGTGTTTTCTGTACACACTGCAAAATATATAGATTATCAATAACTTTTTCATTGTGAGATTGAAAAGCAAGAGATGTCCCACCTGTCCTGGCGACTCTTCTTAGCCGACATGTCGTCTCCAGCAGAGGGTCTCCTCTTTTTCCTAGGAGGCATGGCTCTAGAGCAACAAGCTGCAAAATTATAAGTTAAAACACAATTTAAAAATACAGTTGCATAGACACACAAGACTCGGCAAAACATTAAACATTTACCTGTAGGATGACTGTCCTGTCCAATGTCTTCTGTCAAATTCTAGTGAAACAAACAGCAGTAAATCTGTTTACATACAACACATGTAGATCTCTATTACCAAGCCTAAACCTGCTTTATATACAAGTTAATTGAGTATATTTACCAGCCTGTGTAAGGTGTGGTGGATCTTATGGATGCTGGCCAGTGTGGTTAAATGGGAATTCAGCTGAAAATCTAATTTGAATGAAAAATTAAGAAATCAGAAAACTCAGGAAAAAGCATAACAAACAGCCTTCTGCTCCCAATCAAAGCTGATAAGGAGGGTGCAAGGGTACAACAAGGTGACTGACATCCTTTTAGCAGTAGCCACATTTAAAACAGCAAATCCAGCTAATGAAACACGTTAGCCATGTAAACTGCGAACTTAACTCCACTTCGCAGTTTTAACTAATGCTAGGTTAAAGAGAACGGCAAAACAGCAAAAGGGAGTGACTGAATACCGTAGGCTAACCCTAAAACATTTCAACAGAAGGCTATCCTCTTGAGCAATGAAACATCTACGTCTAGTTATTGTTACTAGCTGGTTAAAACAGGCTACCTTTCCCTACGGCCAAAACTAGACAAACGAACACATTGGCGAGCGAATAGCACTAGCTGCATACCTAAAATAGCAGTGCAGACGCACAACTTGCATAGAGTTTACAAAGTATCTGGAGAGTTGAGCTCATGGGCGTTGTAGTCCATTAGCTTCAGTGACACTGCTAAAGTGGCACTCGCGCTTTAGCTTTAAACTACAACTCCCAGTCCTTAGCATTGCGACTGTTTCCTTCAGAGCCCCTCAACCCCCAACATTTGCACTAACTGATTGAATGTGTTTTGTAATATTTCAAAAACACACATATTAAATTCATCAAAGAAAAAAATGTATCACATAAACTCGTAGGAAGGTTTTGTCTTTATATCGCAAAGTACGACAATACTGCAGCAGCGGGTCATGCAAGATGTTTTACCCAACTGCGTCACAATTTTCCCTTTCTGTTACAATCCACAAACGAAGAAGAGTACAAAAAACATAAAATACACAATTCTGCCATCAAGCCTATGGTAAAGCTGATAACACTAAACCAGTAATTAATCAAATATACCTAAACCGACTAATTAGTGTTGAAAGCTGTCGTTTAAGCTAACCTTTGTTGCTGACGGTTTAACACTGCGAATGCTAAACAATAAATACCCGTAAGATGCAACGCCAAAGTCAAACATCTGTGTATTTAACCGCTTATCTGGTAAATTTACTCTTGCTACCCTTCCTTTGTTATCGGGAAAGACAGCAGTGGCATATACAAAGAGCCCAACAAACAGCACGGGATCATGCGTTGTCCTGAAATAATCCAAGATGACGGGCTAAAAGTTGTCGTAAAATTCACAAAATCCATGCACGCCTCATCACAACAAACACACCAGCGCCTGCAAACAGTGCTAAATGCTCTAGAAATTTCCCGGTAACGGTTACTACTTACTTGCCGCATCAGAGTGCATTTTTATGAAACATACAACTGTCTGAGGGAAGTCTGCAGACCGGCCAATAGGCGGGCCATCTCCGCGTAAAACCAGCCCACCGCCTGTGATTGCGCCTTGGCACGCGTAAACCCCGCCTTTTCCCGCGGTTTATTGGTTCTTCGGGCTGTCATGTCAATAAACGGAAGACAAATTAACAAACCCTCCTACAAAAGAAAGTGATTGGTCAGGCTTTTCCAAACAGCCTCCTTTATCTCTTAAACAGATTGGCCAGGTGGGTTTTATGCGGGCATCAGTCAGAGCCAATTTCCTCGTGGAAGGCAGGACACAGCCCACGAAGAAATGCCATTGGTCAAATCACTCTCAGGTAAGCCTCCTCCAGTCTAGTGCAGCTTAACGGGGAGGGTTGGGGGTGTTAACTTATATATCTGCGAAAAAGTTAGTGATGGTTAGTTTGTAAAGTCAGTATTTTGTTTCTGTAAAATCATGGTCCTAATCTACTACCACTTTATCTTCTTCAGCCTGTATAGGTCCAACCAGATTGCAATTATCTAATGGAAATAGTAATAACTGCGTCATAGCGCTGCAGTAAGTGTTAATTAGTAACATCTTTAGTCTTTAGTAAAATATTATTCAAGTCAGCCTGTTAAGCCTGTTCATCCCAAAATCTATGTGAAACATTTCTAAGGATTTGTTAAAATGTGCTTTACACATATTTGTTTAATAAGCAAAATGTATTTTTCAAAATTAGTAGCACATTATTAAACCTGTCAAAGCCTATCGTTGGTGGGATAGTCTAGAATTAGACCTACTTCCAACAGAGGTCTGCAAATGTGTGAACAAAGGTGATCCGTGATGCAACAGTATTGTAATTTTACTGAAGACCTTAAAATTACAATCATTGTATTTAAGTTTAAGTTAACTCATTGTATTTATTTAAATGTGGCCTTAAAACTGTAAATTGTATTCTTGAGGGTCTCTCTTTTATTAAAAGTGCCATTTTATTAATTATTATAGCAAACTAAATCTGTTGCCTATGACTAATAAGTGGGGCGGGGTTTAGTAATGCAAGCTGGGGAGGATCATGAGCAGCAGGCTACAACAGACCTGTGTGCGCAGACAGAGAGAGAAGGGGGAAGTGTTTGATCTTTCTAACTCTACAGATCGGAGAGTGCTGAAACTGTGCCTTCAGTTGGAGTTATGAGCTCTGAAGCAACAAGAGAGACTGTGACTGTGATAACAGAGGGGGCTCCAGCAGCTGGTACTACACTTTCCCCGGATCGAGCGAAAGGCGTAAGTGTAAACATTTCCTAGTCAAACAGTAGAAGCTGCCCTAATGTGAACTCTGCTTTTGCTTTAGTCCTTCAACTGCCCCCTGAGTGACCACCATGTTCACAGAGAAGACGTGAGGAAAGTTTGGAATGAATGCCAAGAGGAGAGCTTCTGGTACAGAGGTAGGCCTATATTTGTTGATTGTTGAAGCATTATTTGGGGCAAAACATATGAAATTGCACTTCAGGAATGACTGATTTTGAATTTGACCAGTTTATACTAACTTTTACATGGATGGTTTTAAGTAGTGCATTGCGCAAGATCTTGACAGTTTGTTAGGACTCATTCATCACCAGCCCAGCCCTGTTTACATTCTTCATTGTTAAATTAGACCTAGGCACCTAAAAGCACTTCTATTTGGCCAAGATGGGCAGTTTACAAATATATTACAATCAAGAAAAATAACAACCGGTTATCTAGAATTACTGATTACACATAATAAGTCAATAGACCAGTCCTGAAAATCCAAAGGCTATTTAAGGTCGCAGACCAGGTGACATAATCTATTGTAAGAAACAAACTTTTTATATACTATACTATATATGCTATTATTATGAATTGTTTTATGTTGCACCACATTGCTGAAGCAAATTCATAGTTTGTGAATTTATATATAACATATTTATTTCTGATTCTGAAAGACTGTCCTCTTCTGTGCTGTTAAAACATGGTAGTGACCAGATAGACAAGAAAGACAATGGAAATCAAACAACTTGTCTTTTATGTCAGCCATAAAAGTTAATATTAGATCACTGTATAGTTTGTAAGCATACTATGGTTCTCCTCTTAATAATATCATATAGTATTTTTACTCTTAAAATGTCATCATCAATCATTATATCATCTTGGCATTGTTTATTCTTATGACCTCTTGTATACAGCTGAGATATATTTTATTACTTTATTTCAATTTACTTGTACATATGCATGTATATATGCCATATTTGACACCAGTCTCTTGCTATTTTTGCTATCATCATTTTATTTTTTTCTCTTTGTTTTTATAATATATTGTGATGTGTGAGCTTCTGTGGCCAAGTAATTTCCCTTGTGGATCAATAAAGTTTGTCTAAGTATATTTGCCTTTTCACAGATCATTACTCATGATTAATGAGGCTACAAGTATTGAAGCCAATTAATTTGTTAACTTCAACTGTACATATAACTTTTTCTCTTTACAGTGCAAATTCTGCATACCCTCTCTTTAAGTTTGAAGTAAAACAAAAACTAAATAAATAATGTATCTTTTTTTCAGCTCTTCCCATCTCTGTGAGTAGCATGGCAGTGACTGGTGGTCTCATATACAATGGTAAGCATACAGGACATAGTCTACCTTTTGAAATAAAATAGAATAAGAGGACAACAAATATATTACAAAAATATTTTTAGGTGTTTGGAAGTCATCAGCACGTTTTGGTCCATTCCCTAAACTTGCAGGTGTGTACTGACAATTACAAATGATTTGTTCCCATGCACTTGCACTTGAAACAACCATTCATATTTTTGGCATTTTCTTTAGTTGCTGGTATTCTTGGATATGCAGTTGGAAAAATATCTTACATGGGAACCTGTTGGAACAAATTCCAGGAGCTTGGTATTAAACCTGGTCCTGGGGGTCCTTGGGGTGCTGGAGGTCCTGGAAGCCAGTTTAGACCATCGGGCTCTGGTCCTGGGAACAAGTATGATACAATATTATGGAAGGATGTTATAGTATTTGAGGTGTATTGAGATTCATGATATTAATATTAATTGAATGCCTTAATTCTAGTAATAAATTATTACCTCTTAATGTACTTACTTATTACTTTTATCAGTAGAGTACAAACACAGTATTACAGTCTGTAATATTCAGATTAATACAAGTTGTGTGCTTATTTGGACTTTGATCCACCACACTACAGCAATATGGGGATCTAGGTCCTAGAGAGCCCACCAAGATTAAGTAATTGAATAAGAAACATTACACACCTTACTTGCAAAATAAAGCATTTGCTATTCAAACTGTGAGCCCTATACATTGTGGCTATATTGTTCTTGGCTGTATAGTTTACAACTTGTCAGCATATAGATATAACATTATATTGTCAATGTGGATTATATTGACCACACAATTTCTCCCATAGATCCTGTGGACATGCGTGTGAAGAATGTACAGCTGCAACAGCAGGTACAGGTGCAGCGACTGGGAATCCACAATGCTAGAGGTAAATAAGTCATAAAACTTATGTGCGATTTTAATGTGAAGTTATATACCTTTTTATGTGTTATTCTTTCAGAATTATAGAAGAAACTGCAGAGACTACATGTATATTATAATTTACTAAACACAGTATTCAAATACAAGAATTCAAAAACACATGATTGAACTGTGGTGTATTTTTTCATAATGAATTCTTCCAAACAATGACTACAGTGTGGCTAAATTGCCACTAGAGGGAGATAATGATGCTTGGTTGATTTCATTCATAATCCTCGTCACAGCCCACAAAAATGCAGTTACAGTTATCTGTAATACCAACATTTATTTTGTTTCCAATAAAATGACACTTTCAAGGGATTTACATAATTGGTAAGTCCCAACACTTGTAAAGGACGGTTCTGTAAAGTGGTACTGTGCTCTGATGTTGATGTTATACAACTCGATGTTTTTGTTTTCTGTAAAATGAATAACATTTGATATTGTTTTCATGTATAGCCTGGACTTTAATAATAATATTTCCAAACAGGTGTTATTAATCACAATACGTGAAATACTCAGTAGCCTATGTAGACTTAACTTCAGTAATGATTCCCTGCTTGTTTGTTTTTATTTTGGACACTTTTGGCAAAAGTAAAATGTAATAAAATCTTGACATGCCCGCCTCATATTAAATGATATGCTGTTGTTGTTTTAATTGAAACGAGCTATGTACAAATCACACAATCATGGTGCACGTACCTTGCAGTGTGGAAATGGCCATTGCTCCCTGAAAACATGGCACTTGATGCGTCTCTTCCAAATAAAATGAAAGCCTTTACAAATATGTAGTGTTTTTACGGCTTTTTATGAGATTTGGACAATGAGCTGTTTTCTGTTTTTCCAAAAGGGCAAAAAGCAGGTTTTGAGTTATGTTTTTGGCCTTGTGAATATGGTATTTTGCCAAGAAGATAATACCATTAGTTCAGAAAGTACTGTGAATGAAAACTCGTTTCGACCCACTTACAAACCAAAATTCATAATAATCATGACCAAAATGTACCTGACGTCATCGTGATCTCTCTTATACGTCATCCAATCAACAGGTGATTTAGGCCTGATTGACAGGTATGAAGACCAATAGAAAGCTGAAGTGCGTGTAGGCGTAAGCTTCAGAAGCCAATCACCATGAAGAAGGCGGGAGCTTTGCCCCCGTCTGCTGTGACAGTGGAGCTCTTCCAACACCGAAACAGACTGAGAAAAAAAATCACACCACTACGCAAATCCTTCCAATGGAGGAGGGCCAGGACGGAGAAGCTTGTTCGGCGAATGAAAAGAATGTCTGCAAGCTAACCACCTAGCCGCACTGAGGACAGAAGATAAAAGTTGTAAGTAACGCAATATGAAGTCATTTGGGGCACGGTGGTTGCAGCTTAGCGTAGTTAATGCTGCTTGTGTCAAGTTCCGTGATTAACTTTGCCGTAGAGGTAACGTTAGCTTTTCTAACTGAGGCACCATAGCATGCTAAAGGAGTTTGGCTACTTTTCTGGTACTAACATAACAGCTCAAAGAATCGTGTTGACATTAGTTTTTGCTGCCTCGGTGCTGACTGGGTGTGAATCCCTGTTGTTACCCGTGTATTAAACTGGAGTGTTAGCTTGTTGACAACTAGCTCTTGGGTCTAAGCTGCTCAGTGTTGCTGCTGCTAGCCTCCTGCTCACCCTTAGCTCTTTGCTCCCTGCTCCCAAAAGCTAACGTGAACTCATTTTGTTAAAAGGATTTTTATCTTTGTCCTGCATTATTGCTCAATATTAGATGTGATCCTGACCACCAAACATATCTAAGATTCCACTTTGTCTCAGAACACCAAAATTATAAACTAACAGGGGAAACTAATTTTACCAACAAATGCGACAGTGTTTTTCAATAGCCTTCTTTTGAAGTTTGTGATAAAATATTGTGTTCGGGTTTATAGAATTTTGCACTAAGTGATGACTGACTGACTTGAACTAAAAACAATAGATTGTCTTGGGTCTGAATCTTGGCTAAAATATACAATACTTGATGTGTCTAAATTTCCTAATATTTACATTGAATTATTCCTAGACTAGACATTGTTAATCCTATTCCTACCCGTATCGCTTGGTGTCTTTGTTGTATTGGTTTTACAGTGTGTGGGATCTGTCAGCTTCACATCTAACGTTGCCTTCATCTTCTAGACTTGTTGGTGCTGCCAGTACAACAGATTGTACAATGAAGCATTTGTTCACATTGAGTTGAGACCAAAGAGATCTAGGCAGAGACAGGAATCTGGTCAGTGCACTCGCTCTTTGCCTTGTGTCTGAAATAGTTTGGCCATGTCCTCCTCCAGCCATGCAGAAGAAAAGTCCGCCTGTCTGCCCACATAAGGAGAGGACAGACCCGAGCAGGAATTATGCCTTGCTCTTTTACAGTGACATGTTGAGACGTGTCGCTCACAAGAAGGATACTTTTCACTCATTTTTGTCAGTCTTTAGTCTTTAACTGTAATGAGCTGTGTAGAAAGCCATCACATCAGTAAATGGCGTTCAATCAGAAATGGCATGCAACATGACAAAGTAGTGGTCACTCCCAATGACTTAGAAAGGTTAAAGTTGAATGTTTCAGTTCACAAAATATTATTTTTGTTTATCTGGTTGACAATATGGTATTTAAAGAGATAGATCTTTATGTGAAATATACAATGTGAAATTTAACTTTTAGCCTCTTTTGGTGCTGCTTCTATTTAAAACTTAGCTCGTCTCTTATGTTTTATACCAACTTACTAACAACTGAAATTTACCAGTATTTTGAATGAAACAGAAAACAAAAACAATAGCTTTTTTGTGGTGCTGTGCTATTCCTACCTCAAAAATCCCATTGATTGTGCTTTGAACTAAGTTGAATCCACTAGTTTTAGCCAGTGGCTTGTCCAAATAGCTGATCCTCTGTGTCCCTGCCAGGATAAGCCTGTGATGGTAGTGCGGATGGGAGAATTTTCTCTATACACGCAGACTACAGGGAATCCCCCTAGATTGCACATAACCGTGTATCTGTGATTATCTGCCGGCATTACTTCGGTGAATTAGTGTGTTTGCTATAATCTGGTAAGACATTAATGGTATTGCATGGATGGTTTTGAAAAGCAAGCGCCCTCCCCTTTAAGCTTTTCTCATGAATTAACTGTTAACTCAGCGTTTCAGAATTATAATATAACTTTTTAACTGGTGTCTGTGTAGTATAATCCACAGAGGTTTAAGCCTTCCTGTTGCATAAGGCTCTTCTTTAATGGGACCGTAATGGACAACTGCACAAATATTCACTGGGAGCCGAGCACCTGTTAGTGTGTGGTCCTGGGTTTGTCAGCAGTTCACCTGGTCCCACAAGCCCACTTTATGGTTTTTAAAATGCTTTGTATGCTGAACATTAATATGGTGTTTGTGTTGATATTGTCTTGGTTAGCCTTGGCCTTTGTTAGCGCTAACCCTAATAATACACCAATGAGGCATAACTTGAGGTGTGTATGTATTGTATTGTTTAATCATTAATTAATTATTTCTCTTTTATTTTTGGGCCCTAACTTGGGCTAATCCTACACAATCAGCCATAACTTAGATCTGTTGCGGACCATGTTTAGATCGAGTGGGTGGTACTGGGAGAGTTTTTTTCTTAGATGGTCATTTGTGTGACAGCAAGTTTGTTTTCATGTTTTAAATGCAAAATAAGTTGGTGCGGAGTGTCCTCAAAAACTGCATTGCATTTTCAGTCGGCATAGGTCAGCATTGAAAGTGGTCCAAGCCCAGTTTAGAGAAGAGGTGGTTGTGGCTTTATGACTGATCAGTTAAACACGTGTCCTTATTTCAGGTGTGAGGGATTTCCCCGCACCTCTCAAAGATCAAGATGTAAACTCAAATTAATGAACAGTAGATAAGAGCGAGAGGTTGCACTGGAGTTTTCTGAACCTCGTGCGACCTGTTTCAACTGCTAAATTATTAACTTGACACTTGAAACTCCAAAGCAATTATTGAATATATGGCCTTGTTACTAAGTTACATGTTTGCTCTCAGATTCTCAGTTTGCAGAAAACCAAAAATATTCTGACTAATATTTCATACATCTGAAAACAGTCATTTCCTAGCTCCTTATCTGATATATTCTGGTCCAGTTTTACTTTTATGGATATCTTTACTGTACTAGTATGAGTGAATTATGAGAATCATTTCAGGCAAATCAGTCAAGCGATATTTTTATCTAACACAGATCATAGTATTTTATCAGCTGTCTTTTAGCTAGAGTATGTGTGTATGTGTTTTGTTTTTGTTTTCAATACTTCTAAAAATACAAACGGCGGCACAGTACACACAATACATTTATATTTAAAGTCACCATAGACATAAAAATAACCTTCTTTGTATTAATGTTTCCTCCAGTTCAAGTTTTTTTAAGGTGCGTCTTTTGAACCACACATGTTTTTTTTTGGGTGACAGAGAAGAGCGCTGGAGTTATTGCCGTTCCATTGATGGAATTGAAGACTCCATCATGTAGCACACAATAAGGAGTGAGTACTGCAGCTGAAAATAACCTATAATTGAGCCGTGCTGAGGCAGATTATCCCGGGCTTTGGGAACCAGGGTTTGGAGCAGAACTGATGTTTGGGTCTGGCCTCTCCAGAAGAAACCACCCACATTTTAACCTTTGCGCAAATCTGCAAACTACTCACAAGAACGCACAAAACTGACTGTTTCGAAAAGTTTGTTTTTTATAAATAATCTTAAAGTTTTGTTTATTTTATATGAAAGTTTTAGTTTTGTTGTTTTGTGGTAGGATAAAGGAAAAATAAACCTCTTTTAGATTTAAACTCCGCACAAAATTGATAGAGTACTTAAAACAAGAAAAAAGAAGTGTGAGCCAGAGTATGAGAAGAGCGTTTCAAAATCTACGTTCTGGCTTGTTTTGGATGTTGTATAGAAAAGGTATTTGTTTATGTGGCTGTCTTTCTCGTAGTAGAAAAAAACGTTTCTGGTCCAACAGTAGTGATTACGCATTGGAGCCAGGCCTGTCATTTAGTGTTGGTGGGATCTCTATATAGGTTTAGTCCAAATGAGTGCACCACACAGCACAACAGCTTCTCCCAGTTAGTAACATGTATAAAATGGATTTAGCTTTGAGACTACAGCTAGAAAACGCCATCTACTTTTGGATTAGTATGCAGTGTGCCCACTCTCAGCGTGTCCCGGTAAAAGTAGGATGCTTTTAGACCAAGTTTGGGTTAAACATTGATCGGGTCATTTGTGCAGAGTCGACCTTTACCTCCCCTCCTGTGTCAACGGTACACCAAAAATAAACATCCCCTGGACAGAATATTCAAAAGGCCTGTAAGATTAATCAAAATCACAATTGGAACACAACTGGCAAAACACAAAGGTCGCCATCATTTATTGTACAAATGACAAAATATACCACCTTTTACTGCATAAAAACTGATAACCCTGTAGTTTAGATCTGTACAAACATGTTCCTTATGTGAGTTTTGGATTAGTTTGCCAGTTTATATTTCAATATTTTTGTCAATTCTTCTGGACGTTTTAAAAAAGTGAACTTTGAACAGAAGCTTTTTTATTAAAATAGAAATTGCAATGCTGGTCATAGAAATCGTAATAAGTTTTCCCAAGTTTTTGTTC